CTTTTTGTATTAATTTATTACTGGCTTTACCTTTATTAATTTTTAACTTCTTAGAATATTTTACATTACTTTTGCTGCTTTTTTTCCCCTGTTATTATTGGGGGTGTAATTGTTTTTATTTATACATCTGATTTGTTTTTGTGTTGTTACTGTGGATTGTTTTCTCCCAACTGAGTCATATTTGGGATTTAGCCCTCAAAAGAAGGCTTTTCACTTGGAAGACCTACATTTAAAAGGAAAGAGAGATCCACCCCAAGAGATAAGCAAATTTCAGCAAATACTTAAAATATGAAAAAATAAGGTGATGTGGCTTCTCCAAAAAATTTTAATTCTTCAATAACTGAATCCAAAGATACAGAAGCAGATGAGATGCTGGACAAGGAATTCAAATGCCCAATTTCAGAAATGACCCATGACTTCAAAGAGAACATATATGAACAGTTGAATGATGTAAGGAAGACAATGTAGGATATGGATAATAAATTTAGCAGAGATGGAGATTGTGGAAAATCAAACACAAAAAAATCGAAAAACAAACAGAAATATTGCAAATGGAAAAACTCAATAAAGCAAATAAAGCACTCAGTGGAAAGCATCACCAATAGATCAAGCAGAAGAAAGACTATCAGGGTCTGAAGACAGGATGATGAGCTATTACATTCAGACAGCAATAAAAACTATGATCAGAACTTTGAGGACCCTGAGAAATGATTAAGCAATTAAGCATGATATTTTGGCATCAAAGTAGGAGCAGAGATAGAAATCTATTCAGTGAAGTCATTGCAGAAAATTTCCCAAATATAGGGAAAGATGAATATCCAGATTATTTAGAACCCTAAATACATATGACCAGAAAAGAACTTTTCCACATATTCTTATAATGACAAGAATATATAACAAAGAAAGAATTCTGAAAGCTTCAAGAAAGAGCTAAGTCACACAGGCAAACTTATCAGAATAACACACTTCTTAGCAGAAACCCTAAACATCAAGGAGGGAATGGAACAATACATCCCAAGCCCTGAAAGACAATAACTGCCAGCCAAGATTACTATATCCAACAAAGTTACACTTTAAAATTGAAGGAAAAATGAAAGACTTTCTATGATAAGCATAAGGTAAAGCAATTCATGACCACCAGCACTGCAGAAGACACTCAAAGGAAACAGCATTAAAGACTAATCAAGCATCTTTATTTTCTATCACATCTGCTGACCAAAGACCAACAAAGGCAATTATGTTTTTGAGTGTATATTTTTATATGAAATGAATAAAAACTCATATTCTACTAAATTCTGAAGGAAAAAAAAAGAAAAAAATGCCAACAAATACATGAAAAAGTGTTCAACATCTTTAGCCATCAGGGAAATGAAAATCACAACTATGCTGAGATTCCAGCTCACCCCAATGAGAATGGCTATCATCATATAAACAAAAACAAATGCTATACAAACTACACTGCAATCTAGCCACACCACTTCTGGAGATACACACACACATATACATGTGCACGTATATGTATTTATACCTGAAAGGATCAAAGTCAGCATACATAAGCAATACCTGCGTACCCACATGTATTGTAGCACTATCACAATAGGTAAGTTATAGACTCATGGTAGATTAAGACAAAATACCTGAGCAAAACAACTTAAGGGAGGAAAGATTTAATTTGGCTTATGGTGTCACAGGTTTTAGTCCATCATGGTGGGTAGGGTGTGGCAAAAGTGAGCAGCTCAAATGTTAGCCAGGAAGTCAAGGGAGAGAAAATGTCTCTCATAGCAGGCCTTCTCCTTTTCCCCCTTTTGTTCTGTCAGGATGTTCTGTAAGGACGGTGCAACTCACATTCAGAGTGGGTCTCCCCGCTTAGTTACTCCTTTCTGGAAACATCCACATATACACTCAGAAGAGTTCTTATCAAGACAACAATCAAGATTAACCATCACAAATGGATGAAGAAAGTGTTGTATACACATGGAGTATTCAGTCACAAAGAAGACATTTTTTTTACTTTTAAGAAAATGGACAGAACTAGAGATACTTATGTTAAGTAAGCTAGACTTAGAAAGACAACTACTGAAATGTTTTCTCTCATATGTGAAATGCAGATTAAAAAAAAGATGAAAGTAGAACGGGGACATTAGAATGGAGGAAGGGGATGGGGAGGGGTATAAGGGAATGAATATGATCAATGTACACTATATGCATCCAAGAAAATGTCACAATGAAACCCATTACTTTGTACAATTAATACACACTAAAAAAAATAATATCACCCAGTTATAGAGCAGGCAACACATTCTAGATTCTGTCAAAGGCACTTGTTAGAGATTTTGAACTTTCAAGGAAACATCAAGGTGGAGTGGCTGAAGTGTTAAAAGTGCCTTCCTAGCAAGTGTGAGGCCCCAAGTTCAAACCCCAGTGCTGCCAAAAAAAAAAGGGAAACATCAAAGAGGCAGATTATCCACACAGCTCATAAAATAAAAAAAGACACCAGAAGACTGTAAGGTTACATGGCTAAGTATTGCCAAGATAGAATGAAACCAGATCTGATGGAAACACCTTTTCTCTTTCTAGTTTCTGGCTAACTGCATTCTTTAAAGTGTCACTATATAAAGCACCTACATTTTACTACATGTGACAGAAAGGACTGGGAAATGCAACAGTGTACAGTTATACCACTTAAGTAACAAATTAATCCCAAATTCAGTGCCCAATTCAGACTTTTCTTTTCATACTGATTTATAACTTTGTAAATCTGGATCATCCTGAATGTGAGACATAAATTGTTCTTATTGATTATATCACAATCATTTTCTGAAGTTATTACTTCCAAACACTTGGACTTTGACATCCTTAGAGATTTTGATTAAGATGTCTTCTAAAAATGCCATCCTGTCCCTCCTTTCAAATGAAATTCTGACCAAACAGCTATGGGCCAGGCACTCCTGTGGGTGCATGAACATTTTCATACGGTTTCATTCCACCAGGAAAGTTAAGAATGCTTCTAATGGAATAAAAATTATAATGAATCCCTAAGGGATGACAGCAGTGGATTAGATAACCCACCTCAATGCAGGAGATGCCTTTAGATGTGGTAAGCTCAGAGGTAACAGCTAGGAAGGACAGGGTGGAGTGACTGAAAAGGGCTGTAAAAGGAAACACCAAATGGGACACCTCCTGCCCCATTCTGGTCCCCTCTGACCCAAGAGATTCCTGTCTCTACCCAGGGCACTCTGGGAGGTGGTTATTTCCACCAGGAATAGGATAAGGAGTGGTCCTAGGAGACTACCTTGTGATTTAAAAAAAATATTTGTTTATTTACTTTTTTGGTGCTAGGGACTAGATCCAGGGTTTCACACATTAGGCAAACACTCTACCATTGAGCTACACTCCTAGCCCCTCAATTACTTCTACATGCAGAAAAGGCCCTGAAACTTGGCAGCCATTGTTGTTTGATTTTTTTTTTTTTTTTGACTCTGGAACATTATATAATAGTAGTGCAATGAAGTAACAAAAACAACTCTAGGCACCTGATCGATCTTAACTCTGTAAGAATTAGACATCATTAGGCCCTGATAGGATACAGAAGGTAGGATTCTTGCCAAGAATTCGCAATTGGTTTCAATCAGGCCTCCACAGTTAGATTTTAGTTTGCAGCAAACACAAGGGACAGGGAAGATAATAAATGACTCAATAATACAATCAGTAAAATCCAGAATGTAGGACAATACAAGACAAAAGGGAAAATGAAGATGGAGACCTCTAGACAAGAAGGCACATGTGTGTAATGAGTGGACATTCTCTGGGCCCTTTCTGAAAAAACTCAACTATGCAAAAAAGAAGTTTGTAAGATAAAAGTGAAAAGGAGAGCATGGTCTAGATAAGAAAGTATTAATGTATGATCTTTTTAAAAAAGTGGTATACAAGCTTAAAAATTCCTGCAAAATAAAGGGATGATCTATGGATTGGAAAAAAGTATTTGCAAACTATATATCTGGCTAATATCTGAAATATATAGGGAATGCAACAGCAATAGCCCAATTAAAAATAATAGCAAAAAAAAAAGGTCCCTCAAAAGATATTCTTCAAGATACAACCAGCCAAAACACATTAAAAATGGTCATTCTCTTAGCCATCAGGGAAATGCAAATTAAAGTTAAAATTAGACAGTATCTTACATCTGTTAGAATGACTTATGAAAAAGAGAAGAGATAGTTCTAGTGAGGATATGGAGAAAAGGGAGCTCCTGCACACTCTTGGTGGGAATGTAAATTAGTATAGTCATTCTGGAAAACTGTAGAGAAGTTCCTCAGAAAACTTAAAATATAACGTACTGTATGATTCAGCAACCCTACTTATGGGCCTATTCCAAAGGAAATGAAATGAGCATGTTGAAACATACCCACATGTATGGTGGCACTATTCACAATAGTGAACATACGAAATTAATGTAGGTGTCATCAGGGATGAATGGATAGAGAAATGTGTATATAGACAAAATGGAATACTATTCAACCATAAAAAGACAATTGTCATTGTGACTAAATGAATTGTGACAAAATGGAGGACATTTTGCTAAGTGCGATAAGCTAGACACAGAAAGACAAATAGTGCATGACCTCACTTATGTGTGGAATCTGACAGTCAAAGAAGTATTGTGATTATAGGAAATAATAATATAGTATATATTTCAAAATTGCTAAAAAAGTAAAAATCAATTGTTCTCATCACCAAAATTATTAAGTATCTGAGGTCTTTATGTTAATTAGCTGAATTGTTAATCATTGTGCAATGCATATATACATCAAAATACCAAACTGTACTCACTGATGTATAAAACTATTATTTGTCAATTAAATGTAAAAAGTAAAAGTCCCATAATAAAAGGTTTAAAGGGAGTTTGTGCCCTGCCCTCCCCTTCTCCCTGGGGTTCCCACACGTTGTCCATCTGAGCTGGGAGATGGACAGAGCCTAACACACTTTAAGTGACTGCTCACCTGTCAATGAACTGATCAATAATGACGATGTCACCAGGCTGGATCTCCTCCCTCAGAGAGCCGCAAGCTGTGGTCACTATGACATGTGTACAGCCCTCTTCCTTCAAAGCCCAGATGTTTGCCTGGTAGTTGACTTTTGAAGGCATGATGGTGTGCTGCCTTCCATGTCTAAGGAGAAGAGAATGAAATGGTAGAAAAGCGTTCAGGGCATTTTAATATTGTTAGAAAAGAAAGCTAATCTATAGCCATGTTTCCCAACTTTTTCCATCAAAAGCATTTTTACTATCAGAGGAAGAATGAGAAGAGGTCAGGCAATAACCAATCAAGCATTTCATCTTAAAATGTAGGTCAGTTTTACATTCCACCTATGTATTTTCCTATCAAGTGAAGGCAATACTTCACTGAGAAGTCACACTCCAGAAAGACATACTGTGTTTGTCTTATGGGACACAAACACCTCAGAGTAAAACATTTGGTTTCATATATTCCATTATACAAGAAACAAAAGGCAGCAATGAAACAAAGTAGAAATAGAAAATCAAGTTCCCCAATAAATCTCTTCATTCCTTTCTGCTGACCATCTGAATAAGCTAATGAAAACATCTAAAATATGAATTTCCAGTTATTAGGGTGACAGCCACAGTTTTGTCCAAGAACCACTATTATGGGCTAAACTATGGCTCATAAGGATTCATATGTTGATGTGATCTCCACCTGTACCTCAGAATATGACTGTGTTTGCAGTCAGGGTTTTTCCAGAGGCAATTAAGCTAAAATGAGGTTATTACCATGGACTGGTATGCTTGTAAGAAGGGGAAAATTGGACAAAGACATGTACAGAAGGAAGAGGATGTGAAAACAGAGAGTACAAGCTAAGAGAGGCATGGAATTGACCCCTCACTACTCTCAGAAGGAACCACTTCTACCAACACCTTAATTTCAGAATTCTAGCCAGAATGGTGAGAAAACTGTATTTCTGATATTTAGGCAGCCAGTCTGTGGCACTGTTAGGGTAGCTCCGCAAACTAATACAGCCATTTAAAATACTTAAAGTACTTAAAATAAAATCCAACTGTGGACCTAATATCATTTGGGCCCAGCTTATGAATGCAACCCTGACTCTTACCTTTATTTATTCCAATTAGTGTTCACTGGCCTTGCTGCTCTTCCATGCTCATTCTTGAGCAGGCTTCTGACCCTCTTTAGGTCTCAGTTCCTAGAGATGCCTTCCACAACCACTGCCTCTAAGTCATGTCATTATCCCTCGAATTTATTTTTATTTCTAGCACTTCTCAGAACTTAAACTATGTATGTTCTTTTGGTGGTCACCTTTCCACCAAGAATAAATTCTGAGGGTGATGTCCTTGGTCAGTCTTTCTCACTGGCACCTAGAATAGGACACTTGCCATGTAAGAGATTAGATCTGTAGGACAAACAAACATGTTTGCTTAAAACTCTTTCTTCACTTGGAACACACAAGTGCACACACACACACACCCAGAAAAACTCCAGTGAAGAGCCAATGAAGGGAACTAAATTTCCAAAATAATTTTTGAAATGCACATGTGTTACATGGCATTCTTATACACAAATGGGCAGTATTTTATAACCTGTGGTGCTTGAAAAACTAACACATGTGATGTGCTACCACAGAAAAGCAGTGTCAAGAGTCCTGCTTCCCTTACATGTGGACTGGAGGCATGGCTTGAACAGCAGAGCACCTGTCTAGCAAGTGTGGGAGTTAAATTCAAACCTCAGTACTGCAAAGCAACCCCCACCACCCAAAACCTTTCCTTTACATGCAGAAACATGTATAGAAGCAAAAAACAACACACCAAACTTTACTTTATCCAATGGTGAGTAAGTGTGGGCTTTGTTTGGCCTTATATATTTATTTATTTTTGGAGAAAACATTTAGGATCTGTTATTCATAAGTATAAATTTGAGTATCTACACATTTATATATTTAATATTAATACTCTGCAGCCATATTTAGAAAAAAAAAGACTAGAAGTAAATATATCCAAACATTAAAAAGAAAAAAAGAGAATTTTGGGATTTGGATTATAACTGGTTTCAAAGCTCTGCCATGTGCTAGCTCTAAGGCCTTACCAAAGTCACTCAACTCTCTGAGTCCAGTTTTTTTCATCTGTAAAATAGATAATGAAATATATCTCTTTATATAAGGTTAGTAAATGTCTCTTGTTTATATTTTTGAAGACTTTAGTAGACTTTTCTGAACAGAAGTATTGAATGCATCAGTATAACTGCAGACAAACAGAGTTTGTCAGATGATCTCTCAAAAGGTGGGGGAACCAACAATGACAAAATGGCACATATGTTTTTCTGAGGCTAGTCTCCAAAACTCTGATTAGATTTTCCAAAAGAAATTAAACAACCAAAAGCAGTTCAAGGGCTGGGTGTGTGGCTGAAGTGACAGAGCACCTGCCTAGCAATCATGAGGCTTTGAGTTCAAACCCCAGTATTGTCACCGGGGGGAAAAATAGCTCAGAAACACTACATTAACAGGTCAAATATCTCAGTCTGACCTTTCATTTCAGTAGTATAAATCTTCAGCACTGAGCCAAATCACCGTTTCCTCCTATAGTTTGGAAAAAATTAAGTGATACTACTCTAGCAATGACTACAGACTAACAAATCTACCCTGGGTGAAGATCTAAAATGAAAATTTAGTTGTGTTAGTTCCCAAGAATCCACTCCTATTTTAAAAAATGTAGAGGCAAGCAGACTTTTCTAAGATCCTTGTTTTCATGCCCTCCATAACTCCTTCCTCTTCAGTGTGGATGGACCTGAAACTCACACTCAGTCATCAGCTTGGGATGCTCAGAGAGTCTCCTAGCCTTCTAGGGGCAAGCTGTTATGGCACCACCTGCTGCTGTGATGTTGCAGGGAACGTGGACAGTTTCTAGAACTGACTTTCCTTTTACAACTGCCAGGAACTGAATTCTGAAAACAACCACAGGGCTCCAAAAAACTCTTCATGTGTGACCTTGTGAGTCCCAAGCAGATAACCCACCAGTCTTCTGACTCACAGTAACTGAAATGTGTGCTGTTTTAAGCTGCTATACTTGGCTAATTTGTGACACAATGTAAAACTAATGCATGTAGTGTAATTTCTAACCATGTGATAAAAATAATGCTGCTTCCTATATAATAAGGGAGCAGCACTAGCCCTGTCCAGGGGACAAGGGTATAGGAACAACAAGTAACCCAGTGCCCCCTCATCACAAATACTACTACTGCTACACAAGAAGTGGTAAATGAAGCATTGTTTTTGTTTATCTTGGTAATTTGAAGGAAAAAAATGAACAAAAAAGGTAATTTCTTCTTGCAGTTAGAAACAAAACTTTAATTTTAGTCAAACTGATTATCTGAGGCAGTGGCGGGGGGAAGGGGGAGCAGGGGAGGAGACAGGAGGTAGGCATGAGATCTTTCATTTCCTAAGTCATTACAGCTTACCCCAAATCAATATAAGTCACAAAAGTGATAAAGATGTTCTGATGGCTCTAACACATAAAAACTCATACCTCCGTCATTACTCTTTCTAGAATTTAAGTTAAAATTCAAATTTCCTTTTAGTAGACACATTTAAAAAACTTAAAATACTTTACCTTGCAAGGAGAACACAATCGACATTTTTTATCTTCCCCAAAATTAAGGCATCAGATGGCTGCATGCAATGAAAAACAGTTACAACTCAGTGATTTTAAAAACATGTGTATAAACACCTAAAAAAAGCTATCATTTCAATGATTACTACAATTGATTCATGGAAACTTGGGAGTTCAAAGATACAGCTTAGAGTTTAGATTTTATTGATCAATATAATTATCAACAAATATTTATTGATCTCTCTACTGGTTCCGAAGGTTGTGTGTAATAAGTACTATCTAGTAAGGTCTATTTGTAGCAAGTATCCCAGGGGACTCTGACAGTAGACTAATTAAATTTAGATGTGTCAAGGGCACTTAGCAGGTTCAAGAACAGGTGTGACAGTGAAAAGCCAATAGGCTAGCTGGCCACTGTTGTGGCATGAAGAACTCAGCACAGGAACTATCTGCTTGTGTTAACCAGGTCTCAGGTGACCATGGGATGACTTGAGGCAATGACGGGAAATGCCCTTAGAACAGAGATAGCTAAGAAAGCATGAGGCTAAGAAGTGGGCCAAGATGAGAACAGGATTTGGATGACCCGAGGTTAATCAGGGCTGAAAAGGAGGGTTTAGTTGGAATGGCCAGGTGTAGAGATCTTCATGGAGAATCAGGGGAACTACAATGTTTGGAAGTGCAGTGTGGAATTAGGAGTAGGCACATGTCTCTCCCTGGCTCAGGTTTTTGACACGGGCTTATAGAATAAGCAGCCTGTCCTAGGAAAGGAAGAGTTTTATTTCCAGTGTCACTAATTACTGACTGTGTTCTGGATCCCCAAGACAATTCTCCTCTGGGACAGGGTTCACCCAGAAAATGCCACTTCATCCTATTAGTCAGTACCTGTACCCTAAATCACTGTTGTGTGACCTACAGGCCCCAAAGGAGAAGCAGAAGCCGATTTGAATGCAGATTTGAAGAGTACAGTTGCTATGTCTGAAATGAGTGCCTAGCTTCTAACAACATATATTGAGAAGTTACTTGAAAACAGCAAAGTCTAAGGCACCCTTACAGATAACCTTCTCAGCTGATGGAAACTGATTGTGAGAGCCACTCTGGGCTGTTAAAGTCAAAAGCAAATATTTGTCTTAACGTAAAATCAAGCTAGTAAGGAGAAATGGAAACACTAACATGTCTCTACTAACTGGATATTAACCTTGCCAAATGGAGTATCCACATATTTTTCAGTTCTTCCTTCTAAAATTTCTGGATCATCCAGGCCTGTTCCACCAATTATTCCAATCTAAAGGAGAAAAAAAGATCATTACTTTTCATTAGAAACAAAGTATTTATTTTAAGAAAATTCATTTATCCATACTCATACTCTTCTCTATTCCTACTAAGATTCATTTTTAAAAAATTGAAAATTACTAAAAACTTAGTCAACAAACATTTGAAGGACTTCATAAAAAATAAATGAACAAACATTAAGATCTTCTCTTTCTAAAAATAACCAAATGTAGGTCACTTTTTTGGACTCTATCACATTTATTTTTGAGTTACAAATAAGCACAGAAAGGTACTTTTAGGTTAGAAAACACGTCATAAAAGTAAGCAAATGTGGTTGTAGAAAGTTCTTTCTAACCAATTTTATTCTCTACCGAATGGATTATGGAATAAACAATGTTCAGAAAACTGCCAGGACATGAAATTTTCATTATGTCCACTGGATGGTGACTTTCCCTCATTAGGACATTTGATAAAGAAATGAGAGGTTTTTCTTTCCTATGTCATGAGAGTCACAGAACTGCAGGGAATGCAGACAAAAGAGACTAGAGTAGGAGTGGATAAAAAGTCAGCTTCAGATATACTTATGGAATCAAACGCACCCGTGCCTGTGTGTAACTTCACATTTACATACGGTAAATAAACATATGGTATTTCACATACAATGTGTACTATACATATGCTAAATTCATCTATTAATAGAACAGTAATCCAAAGGTAGTTCTAATTTTAAGTTCAATCATTGTATTGAAGTTTTCAGAGATGATCTGATAGCCCCTGTCCTCAGATAAGGTAGAAAAACATGATTCTACCCTCTAAGAGTTAACACAAAAATAACAATTACAAAGACAAATATTAAAACTAACAACCAAGTAACTAAAATCACTAGGAGTCTTTCTGGACTGACAATATTTAAAAAGTGAGTGACAGGCTGAAGATACAACACTTTACTAGAAACCTCACAGAAAGGGTCCAGAGCATTTTTCAATAAAAGGTTTTAATCTATTATCAATTGAGTAAGATTTTTACTAAATAAAATGAAACGTCCACAATTAAGAATGAATTTGACATCCGAATTAAATAATTTTCAGGTCAAGGTACATAAGTTGATTTAAGTCAACATGTAGGAAAATGGTTCTCTAAGTTTACTGGGGGGGAAAAAATATCAACAACTTGTGCTGGCAGAGTGGCTCAAGTGGTAGAGCACCTGCCTAGCAAGCGTGAGGCCTTGAGTTCAAACCCAGAATCTCAGGGAAAAAAAAAAAAATCAAGAAAACAAGGACAATTTAGCAAGCTTTTACTTACTGAACTGTTCAAGTTTACTCATTTCCTTAAAGGTTAAACCAGTTTTGACGTTGGTGCCACCTTGTGGCACACTATTGAAACAACAGCAGGTTACATCTTTTGTATCAAGTAAACATTACAAGTGAAAAGTAGTCAATATTAAAGTTTTTAAACCAATAGTAGTGTTCACCTAATTCTACACATTTAAATCATCCAATCCAATGGAAATATTTTTTCAAGAATATCGTACTGTTTTATGCAATTCTAGCCCTTGCTCTGGTGTGGTTTTTTCATCACTCATTTCATGTTACTTCCAAATAAAAGATAATGGAAGGGTCCTCATCCTACACCACAAAAATAAATTGCTGACTCTTCAATTATTCTACGCCTACTCTTTGGAAATTCAGCTACTCGTAGAAACTTAGGTATTTCCTTCCCTTCCTTCCACTTTATCTTGATTGTTTCTGGATGTCCCCTGGGTCATAGCTTCTCAGATTCTGGAATCAACACTGGGCCCTCAGCTTGTATATACACAACAAATCTAATTGTTTTGGAACCAATCTCTTAGTTTAGACAAGCTAGTGCAGCATGGAAGAAGTAATGAATAAATTAGTCAAGTGTTCTGCTGAAGGTCAGAGGCCTTGAGCTCACTGGCAGCATCCCCAAGCTTGAGTCCACACCACTCTGGCTGTATTATGGCCCTGCATTAGTCAGTCAGCAACTCAGACCTCAGCAAAGAACATATAGTACTTGACCTGAAAGCAAGTGGTCACTGCTCTCCAGTTAGGTCGTAAAGGACTCTGGCATTGGAATGATCTGCAGACAAGCCCATCCGGTCATTCAACAGGTTTTAGTTGTTAATGGAAACCCACATCTTGCAAAGCACATGATAATAGAGTGGTGACTGCATACTGTCCTGCCACACTAGAGAACTGGACCTCCAAGATGGAGGCCAGCAATATCAAGATTTAGCCAATGTCGCCACCTGCTGGCTTTATAGCGACTGCTAGATGAAGCACGCACACACACACACACACACACGCACGCACGCACGCACGCACGCACACGCACGCGCGATAGCTCAATTCGATAAACTCCCTTGGGCCTCTGAATTCAATAAGTGACTGTGTCTGAGCATTTACATGTCACAGGTACTGTGTAAATGCTTCAGAGGGCTTATTTATCACAGCCTCTCTGTAACTCAGGCCCTATGGTATTTTACAAATGGGAAAAGAGAACAAAAAAATGAAGAAATTTGTCGAAGAGCAAATTATAAGGAGCAATGCTAAACCGGAGCCCAGGTCTTTGAGGCTTAACCATTATGATGTGGAGTCACTCATGATCTCATATTCTCAGGAAATAATGAAAAGATCATGCCAAACCCCTGGGACTAGAGCACTAGTCATCAGTCTATAAGAAAAATGATCTTTTCTATCAAAGTATTTGTTACTCTTTTAGATTACTTAAAAATTCCTCAGGTCGCCATCTTAGGTGACTTGCATGTTTATAGGGTCCTTGCTTCTTCTTCTGGATTCCTGTATAACTCCATTGCCTGCCAAACTGCATACCCTAACCCATCCCCCAAGCCTTTTAGCCAATTGAGGGAGATTGTTAATCTTTGACCTGGAAAAATCCCAAGTGAGGGGCAGGTAGGACTGCGTCAGGGATATAAGGAGGAGCCACTGTCAGCCATTTTGTGCTTTCGTGTTTGCTTAGCTGGAGTGAGCACACGCTTGCATCCTCTTGATCAAGAGAAAATTGCCTTGTCAAGATTTTCTGTCTCATGTGTGTCTGTTTTTGGCACTGGAGGGTTATCAATTCCAACAATTCCAGGCAACTCTAGACTGCCTAAGAAATGGGTGCAAGACCTGATACAGAATTTCTGAGTCAATTATGAGCAACTAGGAGTTCATTACACAAGACAAAGTTCTGAAATAGGAACCATCTGGTCAACCAGATTTTAACAGCTGTGGTTCCTCCCAGTTTTCCATTGATAAAACCACCAAGCTAACCTCCTCTATAGGAAGGGTGATGGTCTGTGAAAGCATTTTATCCAAACAGTGGCATACCTGGCCAGAATGCTTACTTACAACAAGTCTGAAAGGGTGCATACTAATCCCTACTGTATGTCCACTTTCCCTGGTACCAGGCCCCAAGAGACTTCATCACTCTGAAACTTGGACAGTGCTCTAATGGTATTTCAAAAGACCACAACCTTGAGCAGCTGAGATCAGCTCATGCCAGGGAGGTGGGCTACTTTTGAGTGCTTCAGGCTCATGATGAGATAAGAGAGCTGGAGTTGGAGCCGGCACAGACCCGGATCTGAGCATTTCAGTCCTTCAGCTCTGGTTGCTGCTGACAAGCTTGGCAAGTACAGTAGGCAGAAGTCCTCATTACTGGGCCAACCTAGCTTTAAAGCCTCTCAGAATCTTGCAGAATTCAAGAAACCTAGCTACATGGGGACAGAGTGACCAAATACCCCAGCATGGGAGGCCTGTTTAAAATCTGTAATATGGTCCAAAAGACAGCTGATAGCTCTATCTCTGACAAGACACCTGCTCTGGAAACCTTTGCAGAGAAGGATTATGGGCCAAATGGTGCTCCTTCTCCATTCATATGTTACTTTCAAACTCCTGGTGTTTTATAATGTGACTATAATCGGAGAGAGGGTCTTTTAAAGTGGTGATTAAGGTCAAATAGATCACTGGGAGGGGCCTAATCCAATAACCTGGTGTGCTTGTAAGGAGAGACTGGGGCTCAGATACATACAGAAGGAAAATCATGGGGAGACATGTAGAGAAGCTGGCCATCCGAGAGCCAAGAAGAGACCAGCCCGTAACACCTTGATCTTGACCTTTAGCCTCCAGAACTCTGAAGTACTAAGTTTCTGTTTCTTAAGCCACACAGTTAGTAGTGCTGTTATGGCAGTCCTGGTAAACCAATACAATGGCATTATATTTTAGTCAGAGAAGCATAGATGGCCAGGGGGATCATAACATACAAGGCTCTCTTTGCAACATCAAGATATAAGTCTAAGGGGCAGACACCCTCTTGAAGATACACTTCATTCCTCAAAAGGCCAACTGGCTTGAGAAGAAATCTCGAAGCTCATTGTGTTCTCTACAGCCCTCCTTTGCTGGTGGAACAATGGCAAGATCTGGCACAGAGTTCCTCTTGAGTCAGCAGAAGGATACCAGAATCCCCTGGGAAGATTTCAATGCTAAAGCCTAGGTCTCAGACTGCAATTCTGATAAATGGGCAAGGCATAGTTTGTTTTATTCAAAGCTCAGCAGGTGGCTCTAATGTGCAGCCAGAATTGAGCACCCCGTTCTATGGCTTAAACCACAAGTTTCTAAAACGTGGGCTAGCTGAGTGCAGTAAGCTAAATAATGACCTCTATGTTAATCAGCTTTCTGAGTGACAAAATACCTGAGAAAATCAACTGAAGGAAGAAAACTTTATTTTGGCTCATGTTTTCAGTCCATGGTCACTTGGAATGGTGGACTGTGAGCCTGTGGCAAGGTAGAATGCTGTGGCGAGACGTACATAGTGGAGCAAAGCTGTTCATCTCATGGAAGCCAAGTAGCAAAAAGAAAGGGAGGAAGGGGCTGGGGTTCCAATATCTTCTTTCTCTATCTTTATTCCAATAGGCCTCGCCTCCTAAAGTTTCCATCATTTGCCAATAGCACCACAGGCTGGTGACAAAGCCTTTAGCATATGGGTCTTTGGGGG